TGCTAGTAAATGGTAACTTGCCATGAAAGATAAGATGAAATCCTTAATATGTAATCAGACATGCGATCCAACAGAGTTACCTATTGGGAAAAAGGAACTTCACAACAAATGGGTGAAGGAGGATCATGATGGATCAAAAAGATATAAATGTTGACTAAATGTCAAAGGATTTTAACAAAAGGAATGAGACAATTATATTGAAATCTTTGTTCCAATTGTGAAGCTCAATACTATTAGGTTTGTTTTAAGTATCATTGCTAGTGAAGGGCTACCTTGAACAATTGGATGTAAAGATTGCATTTCTTCATCGAGACTTAGATGAAGAGATTTACATGCAACAACCTAAAGGTTTCTCAAAAGAAAGGGAAAAGAATGTCGTGTGTAGATTAAAGAAAAGTTTGTATGGCTTGAAACAAGCTTGAATATTATGGTATAGGAAGTTTGAAAGTTTTATGCACAAGGAAGGTTTCCAAAAGTGCAACGCCGACCACTATTGTTTCTTCAAGAGGTATAAGTACATTTATATCATTTTACTACTTTATGTCAATGATTTGTTAGTAGCTGGTTTAGATATTGATGAGATCAGAAGCTTAAAGCAACAATTGTCAAAATAATTTGACATAAAAAGACTTGGGTCCAACAAAAAGGATCCTCAAAATGAAAATCAAGAGAGATAACAAAAATAGGTATTTTGTAGTTATCTCAAGTAGAGTACATCAATCGTGTTTTGCAAAGATTCAACATAGGCGACACTAAGCCAATTGGCACACCGTTGGCTAGTCATTTTCGCCTATCTAAGGATTAGTTCCTTCAAGTGGAGGAGGAAAAAAGTTCATGGCCAAGATTTTGTATGCTTCAACCATTAGAAGTTTGATGTATGCAATGGTTTGTACAAGGCTAGACATTGGTCATGTAGTGGGAGTTGTTAGCAAGTTTATGTCAAATCCAAGTAAAGCTCATTACAAAGTGGTTAAGTGGATTTTGAGATATCTATGAGGCACTACAAAGAAGTGTTTGTACTTTAGTAAAGGAGAATTAAAAGTACGAGGCTACATAGAGGTAAACTTTGGAGGTGAAGTCGATCACTAAAGAAGTACTACTAGTTACATTTTCACTATTAGTACTACAACTGTTAGTTAGATGTCACAAATACAAAAGATTGTTGTTTTATCCACTACAAAGACTGAGTGTGTAGCAGTAACAGAAGCCAATAAAGAATTGATATGGCTACAAGGATTATTAACAGAGTTGGGATTCATCCAGGAGAAAAGTGTTTTTCATAGTGATAGTTAGAGTGTGATACATCTAGTAAACAATTCAACATTTAATTCTAGAAAAAAAAACATTGGTTTTTTATATCACTTCATCATATCTTTGCTTGATGATGAGGTGCTAACTTTGACAAAGATTCTAAAAATTAAGAACCCAACAGACATGTTGACAAAGGTAATAATCATTGATAAATTGGAGTTGTGCTCAACTTTAGTTACTCTGCTAGAATAACACACAAGATAAGGTTGCTACATTGATCAAGATGTGAAGACAAATTAAATTTAGTCTTCAAGTGAGAGATTATTGGACTTGGTCATGCAAAGAAAAATTCAAGGAAGCACTTATTCCTTTGTTGAGAGAAAAATAAGGAAAATCAAGAGTAGAAATAGTTACATAAAAACAGGAAAAGAGATGAGCAGAAGAAAAACTTTACGTTCACTTATGAATATAAGTTTTCTTTTCTTTATTTTCATTCCAACTACGAGAAGAGAGAGACAGCGAGAGAGAGAGAGAGAGAGAGAGAGAGAGAGATAAATCGAGTGAGTGAATGAGTGAGAAAGAGAGAGAATAAAAAATTTAGAAAATAATATTTTATTTCCTAGGTGTTTTGGGTTGTGAGTTGAGTGTTTGGAAACATTGTTTATATTTTATCCTTTTTCAATAATATATTTGTAGCAGCCTTGAGATGTAGACACAATTAGTCGAATTTCATTATCAATTTTATGTGTTTTTATTCCACATTTTTTTTTATTCTCCACAAATCTGATTAAAAGAAATTTTGCATAATTTCTCAACAACATCTTGGAAGATGTATGTTTCTTGTTGGATTTCGACGTATTTGTGTGGTTGTTCTGGAGGTTCAATTTGGTAGTCAAAATTAACATTTTTCATCATTTGTAATGACGTCATTTGATTTTGTTGATATATGAAAGCTTGTAACATTATCAACCATGGCTACTGTAGAGCCTCCACTGACATTTTCATAAATTGATGCAAACAAATGAATACTTATGCTTTGAATGTAAGCGTATGTAGATTCTAGTGTTTAAAGGTCAATTCCAACTAAATTGCTCATAAAGTCATATCTAGTACCACTTGTTGAGTATGGGCTGCTCATAAATTATTCATGTGATGGGGTGAATTCAAGGGTTTGGGGATGATGTTCGATGTTTTTCTTCTATATGTTGTTTTCAATAATTGGGCTTTTTGGAGATGGTATATGACATTACCTTGAACATTATTTTGTTGGCATTTGTGTACTTCGAATAGATGTGTCACCTACATTTGTGGAGTGTTTTACACAGAAAAACTTAAGAATTTGCACAATATCATTGCAAATATCCATGAGTATGTTGTAGAGGTTTTTAAATAGGTTGATCAACAATCACTTACTTTTTATTGTTCTTTCCAAATGGCTACCCATTGTGCATGTTTCTCTATCCAATTTGTGTCGCTATGTTCTACACATTTTCAAGCTAATAAATTAAATAGAAAAAAATATATATTGCAAAAATAAGATTAAAAAATGAAATTAAAAAAAAATGCAATTGAGAAATTGAATACTTGTTAACCAATTTCTCAATGCATAAATAAGAAAAATTAAAGAATTTAGGTGAAAAATTGGTTAGTGAAATGTCAAATTTTCAACATAAATAATAAATATAACACTTTGATAAATATATCTTAAGGTGCAATATGTTGATAAAAAAATTATTTTGTAATGTTTAAATAAAAAAATTCCACTGAATGTTAATAGGGACTTTTCTGCTCATTTTTTACTTGCTACAATATGTGATCTTCCTTTTTTTGCTTTCTCTTGTGGCTTGTGAGTCATTGTACTGATAAGATGCCAAAATTATTATTATTTTGTTATACTTCTTTTCTTGGCACATGATAACTTTATTTTTATTCTATCAAATCTGAGTTTTTTCCTTATTAAACTAAATAGCTAAGCCTTTTTCAAATACTACATTGATAATTTCTTGCTGCATTATTCAGATATGTGAAAGAGAAAGAGATTTATGTATTAGTACTTCTTTCTGCATACTGTTTATATCTTTCACTGCTAGAAAAGATTAACATTATTAATTGTACTAACACATTTTATCTTACCATTTTACAGCACACTATTTAATTTCACCAAAAAAGATACACCTCATACGCGCTTCAGTTTCACCAAAAATTTATGCATAATTTGGAGAGGAGCATCATAAATCATTGTACATCTGTCGTATTTTATGTCTCAAATTATCTCTAACTACTTTAAAAGTTAAAGTTTAAATTTATTTTTAAATACTTATTATTCTAAAATATAAAAAATTATTACTTGTCTTTTTCTAACAATACTCTTATTTGTCAAAAGTTATTAGCTTAAATAGTTTAACATTTTTTAATCAAGAACCAAAGCTTAATTTCTGACTTTTAATGACTTTCTTAATTAAAGATATTACTTTACCTTTATAAGAACTGAAACTGTAAAAAAAAATTATACTTCCTTAAATAACAAAAAAAAAGTACTCTTATTATTATCGTCTCACCTAAATACTAAATTAAGTATAGTTTCATCTCAACATTTTTATTAAAGGTATCTTAATATAAAATTGTTTTAAAATAATAATGATTATTTTTCATAAACTATGTATCAAAGAACAAAAACAGAAATAAAGCTCAAACCAGGAATTTCCCACCATTCATAAATGGCATTTGCTTATCAACACTAACTTCGGTAAAATCTAAACACTCATGCATCACATATTGTTCAGTTAGTTTCCTCTGATAAAAAGTGGTCATATTTTGACTTTAGCTTCGGTTATTTTTCTCCTCCACTGGTCTAAAAGAGAACTTTTCAACTTCACATTGCCGTCATCTATGCAAAATCTATTACCCAAGAAACAAAAATAAAAAGACTTAAAAATCTGTTGTTTGAGACCTAACAACCTTGACTCATCGATGTATCTACTGCACACATTTGGCTATCTCACTCTCAGTCTGAGAATGAATTCACGCAATTCTGATTTCAAGAGAAAGTAATAAAAAGCAAGTAATATATGACTTTTATAGCATGATTTCCATTCCTAAAACTAGAGAGAGGATAGAAATGAATTCAACACAATAATTTAAGGGTTAACGAAATGTCGAAAATAAAGTGCAAGTATTATACAAGTGATATTCTACCAATGAATGAAGTAGATCTCATTCTGTAGACTATAATAAATCATACTTCAGCAAAAATAAGTTATACACATTCCTCTTATACAAGTTTCATTGCAAAGAAATTGATTTGATGACAGTAATACATTTTAGAAGGTATTACTTATAATTATTAATTAAAAATTGTTCATATTTTAATAAATTTATACCTTGTTATTCACATTTTAACTGTTTTTTCCCTTATCAGAATGATAGATATATTTTCTTATAAAGACAAATCTTCTTACTTTTCTCGATATAATTAAAACTGTCCAATACTAAAACAAAAAAATAAACAAAAATAAAAACTAAACAAATTGACATTCATAGCTACTGTAACTTCCCTCCCGCTAAAATTTCCTTTTCTTATTTGCTCTATTTACGGTGCAAAGTACAATATAAGTGGTATAATTTATTCAATACTCGAGATTATTTATGATTAACAAGTCCCATTTTCCTTTAGTGAGAAGAATAACTATGCAATTAAGCTTCATACTAAATGCCAAATCCAGTGGAGGGAAAATAACTGGATCACAAGATAAAATAATCATAAAAATCAGTTCATTTGTATCTACATGCACACAAAGTTCAACTGCCGATTATATGAAGAAATACAATCCACTGAGAATTTATTGTCACAGTATCAAAGAAATTGCTAATTTTCATCAACCATTGGAATTATACACTTCAACACCAGTCATTCCGTGTGTCAGGAAAGGATTTGGTTGTCAGGTGATATAAATTTATTGAAACACAGAAGACAGAGATTGCTACATCAGAGCTATGTAGTTATATGCATTAATCTGAATTCTGAAGGGTAAGTTTTAGGTAGGATAAGATAGAGAAAGAGGGGTTTAAATTACATGAACTCATTATCTCGTCAATAAATTACATTTTACAGGTGACTCAAGGAATAGCATCTCAAAAATTAGTGTCTGCCGCAAACAAAAGTTCACACATGGTAATACAACTGAGACGTGCCCCCATCCCTCAAGTATGTCTCAAACCATCATTGAATATTGTCACTGAAAGTCAGGTGTTGTTCAATACCGGTCAAACCATGATAACGGTCTTATCTTGTTCTTCACTTTTCCACTTTGTTAACCATACTGCTCAACTGTTTTTCTAACTGCAAACCAAACAGAAAGTGAGATACCCTAAATGATAACTTGCAGAATTCCAAACGACAAATGTGTAAGAAACCTATTCTTAGTTGACGCTTATCATAGTAAATAGAGTCCTAAAATATTAGTCCAACAACTGTACCACCAATGTCGACGGTTAAATAGATTGAGAAAGAAACACTACTAAATAACTTGCAACTAGTACTGCCTCCGTCTTTTAATTATAAGACATTTTCATCTAAATTATATCCTTTAAGAAAATTAATCAATTTAGTTAAGAACATTAAATATATCAATAATTTAAGCTACTTTTCCAAAATTACCCTTAACACCTCTGAAATTAATCTTATCTCTTTTCACTTAATCATTTTCCACTTAATTATTTAATATTTGGGAGAGATATGTATGTGCCTATTTATTTTCTACAATCCTAATAAGAGAGAATGTTTTATCCAATCAATTTCAAACATTTATTACCTTTTGTCTAAAAGAAATGTTAATTAAATAAAGAAATTTCAGAGAAGATATAATTAATACAACTGACAATATGAAGAGGGTCTTATAAAAAGAGACAAACAAAAAAGTGAAATTAAACTTATATATAGGGACAAAGGTAGTAATAAATTAGTAATTAAACCATGATAGGTCACGACACCTAGTTAAGTCATCACCGAGGATCCCAGTCCTTAGTGAGTAAGTAGTTGTAACAGTTGTTAATCAGAAGTTAGGAGAGGATATAAAAGGAATGATAGCAATTGTTGGAGATATCTTGGACATTTGACCATTCTTGAAGTGAGAGAGTCAGGTTCTCTCAAATTGACCTGTGTACTCTTTTCAAGTCTGTTAATAAAAACCAGTTCATATTCCAACTTTTTCTTATTCTTAACACCAGTTCTATCAAATTATTTCCCAAATTTATGGATTGCTTGATCTTAAGGGCAAGCCTTGGTACAAGGGGAAGGTAGCTGCCTTATGACCCATATATGTCGCAAGTTCAAATCCTGAAAATTGCCCTTTTGCTTGCAAGTGTAAAGTTGCTTATATTTATGTTCCCAATACCCCACTAGGCACGAGTCTCGTGTAATAGCTCTCCCCTCTTATGGACTGCTTGAACTTGGGAATGAATACTACTAAAGACCACTTGTCTTTGTTTCAGCATACCCCCTCCCATATTACACCTAGTCTTGAGACTTTCTATGCAACATCCACCCTAGTTTCTCCATTTGTGGACTGGTCCTCATGTTACACTTTCTTTTGGTGTCTTTTTGGGCATGAAATTGGAGCTTGAAATTGCAATTACGATGTTTGGAAATCCTTATTACAATTCTAAGCTAAATTTCCACGGTATTCTAATATAAATAAAATTAACATTTCCCAATTTCTAACCTTTTCCCTTTTAATTACAAATTTTAACCTTTTCCTCACCCTCAATCACATTATGCAATTATTTTTCCTATTTTTGACACATGCTGTGAACACCACTGCCCCTCCCACTGGTCACTGCTGCCACCCCCACCACTCCAACTAACCCTTCACCCATCAGCACCACGATTATTGCTGGCTCAGCCACCACTATTGCAACCACCAACCCTGTCACCACTACATCACATTGTTTTTACCACTACAACCATTGATGGTCATCGCCACAACCTCCTCATACTCATCCTCATTACCCCCACCACTCCATTGCCCCACTATCAATTGGTACCTGTGGATTAAATTATTTTACCGAAACCTAATGCAATTTCACCCATGACTACCCCCTAATTAGAGGTGCCAAAATGGAATTGGCATTCAACTTAGAACTAAAATTATAAGCCCTAATTCTTTGCACAACCCGAATATATTAATTATGATTTCAAAGCAATTCCAATTCTATACCACATTTCCAATTTCATTCATCAAATGAACCCTTTGTGAATAGTGATTAGTGATATTTGACAAGGATTTCAGTGTAAGTGAACATTTTATGGACAAAAACTACTGGCTCCTCACTATTTTAAACTCTAGGCACTTGAAGCAAATGTATAGGTTACTACATGTCAACATGTTACATTACAAATATGGGAGACCTGTATCGCTTGCTAAATATATTTCATAAAATTTGCATATAGTGTTTTGCAAATAAAGTTTATTCTCCGCTTATTTTTCAAAAACATCTTTTAGAAAACAAACAAAAAAAAAGTAATTATTTTTTTAAAAATAATCTCAACCTAAAAATCCTGTGAGATCAACTACCAAATGACAGACAGGTTGACGCTTGACAACAGTAAGCACTTCATTTTGGTCACATTTGAAATGCTATTGTTGGGAGGACAATAAAGCTGAGACAACAATGCACTATCTACATTTGAATGTCCTCATAAACTAAGGCATTAAGGCAAGCCATTGTGCTAGATGAGTGAATAATAACTAGAGTATACAAATTATAAATTTAGAATCTACCTTTTGTAGGCAACAAGTAATTAATTTATATTAAAGAAAAGAATGAGAAAAATAACATGCATATTATACTACAGAGAAAAGAAGAAAAAGAAGAGCAGAATATCAGGAAAACAATACTCAATAGATAAATGGTAAAATAGTTAAGTATGACAGACCAAGATTAAAACTTACCTGAACATTTTTCATCTTTTGTCTTTGCAATTCCTCGACAAGGCTCCCAATGCTGAGATAAGAATCAAAAATAAGATGCATGTGGAATTTAAATTTAAAGATCAAGGGATCAGAAATTCAGTTGCATCCATATACCTCTGTTGGAGTTGAATCACCTGAAAATGGAGCTCTCGCTCCCTGGTTGTTGCTGGTGGTACCTGCAAATTGCACAAATATGAGACCATTTAAAAAAACATCAAGCCAAGTAGCAAACTCCTGCACAAGTAATCAAAATATTTCTTAACCCACCTCCTCCCATAAATTTTTTTTTTTAAAAAAAAAAAAGACTGATTATTTTTTTCTTCATTAAGCTTTAACTTAATTTTTAATACCATATACGAATTGTGAATGTGAAAATTCAATGCATCAAGTTCCTTTTAATATTTTTGATGGGCCTCCATTGAAGATTTACCATAGAAAGAGAAAATAGTATGAGGACAAGTTGGGAAATAGAGATGACAGCAGGTAGGTTTGGATCACATATATCAATCCCTGATAGCGGCACAAAACAGTCATATCCAACCAAAACCACTACAGCGAGCCAAGTGCTATTCTGAAATTTTTTATAACTATTATTATTTACTTTATTATATTAGATTAGATGCTACTCTTTATTTATTTTTTTATTAATACTATTATTTAATTTATTATAGTATATGTTATGCTTTAAATGAAAAGAAAGAGAAGAAAAAAAAACTAAACTGGACTCAACTCCACTTGATGCCCAACAAACCAATAAATAAATATATGGGCCAAATGGCCCAATTCCCCTGAAACCCTAACCCCCAAGGAATGCTTCAGCTGCTAGATAAGTGCCGCCCCGTCTGAAATCCTAACTCCCTATGGCAGATCACAAATGGACGAGTGTGAGGGAGGTCACAGAGGCTATACGGCAAAGGTGCAGGCTGCAGAGCCTTTCTTGGAGCCACCAAATCAGCATGTCCGCCCCCATTGCCCCATTCTGCAAAACACCATCTGTTCCGAAACACCAGTAGCGGCAGCAAAAGACGCAATTTGCATTGCGACTGTAAAGTGTGACGCAATGAGGTAAGCAACACTAAGGGGAATGTGTGACATGCTGGGATGGTATGATAGCAGCACAATGCTCATTATCATATATACATTAAATAAAATAAAATACCAGCACCAGGACAGGACCCATACTCATGTAAGCAACAACTCCAAACTTTTACTTGTTGGGTTTCTACATGTTCAGACCCATTACTTGCATTTTAGTTAACTAGAATATGGTCTCTCATGAGTTTATTTGAAAATCTAATAAAATACGAACACTATTATAATACTAATTTTAATGATGAAAAACCAATGAAAAGAGTATAGATTAAAAGTAAAATATGTAGCTTAATTAAGGAAAATATTCAAAAATAATCTAATTGCTAATTGTAAAGATTACAAATAGCATTTTTATCTCCATATAAAAAATTATTTAAAGAATCTTCAACAAATAAAATAAGATAAATATATTATGCATTACTTGGTTATAAGTACAGCTGAAAGTGTGTGGGTGAGATACACACAAATCCTGAAAACTCTATACGTCTTCAACTATCTACATGTGTGAACAGTACCACACTCCTCTGCCACTGTTTGGAATCTATCCTGGCTCCCTTTCACCAGCATGTCAACTTCATACACCTGCACCAAAATGGCAAGTGACCCATTTTCCTTTCCGGCGTCACCCATTCACTAGTGACCTTTCCCTAACACTCCTCTGCCTACACTGACCACCACACG